TTGCCTGATCACCTGAAGAGCAGCTTCACTGCATGCAACAGATATCGGAAATATTTGGCGCATTTATTTCACGAGGCCATTGGAATTTTGGCACTGTACACAAGTTTCGAACACGTTTTCATGGCTTCTTATGAACCTTATAGAATATTTAAAAGATACATTTTATTACAAGTACCTTTAAAAATATATTTGAATCTCTGTATACAAGTTGGAAGAGAGAATGGATCGTGTTTATTCCTTGGTTTTGTTTAACGGTGCCGTGTCGTTTGCTTACCCTATGCACTATAGCGTTGAATGTGGAATGACAATTATGGTTAACGATGCATTGCTAAGGACATGGAAGGAGACAATCATGGTTTTTCCGTTATTTGGCTGATTCGTTAGAAAAACTCACGACATTCTTTAGTACAATCTTCCTACCGAAATGTGATAGGAACCACCAATATAAGAGCACGAATAGTTACCACTACACTGCAGAGACGGGAGCTTGTGCCCATGGAATTTATATTTGTGCATGTAATGTAAAATAATACATGATGTAATATAATATACTTACAATTTTTATTTCATCTGAACTTTAAATAATAAGAATGGCGTATTCTGGGATGTGGCGCCGTGTAGATCTTGTGTGAACCGACGTTTCGGAGGAAAGTATCGCCTCCATCTTCAGAGTAGAAAAATTTGCGAGCGAGGAACCAGAGTGAGGAGGTGGCTACAGTCTGCTGCAGCTAGTTCCTCGCTCGCAAATTTTTCTTCTCTGAAGATGCAGGCGATATATTCCTCCGAAGCGTCGGTTCACACAAGATATACACGGCGCCGCATCCCAGAAGATGTCATTCTTCATAGTCACCGCCGTGAAAACATCAAATCTTACATAGGTTTAAATAGATTTAAAATTTTCCTAAACTGACGAAAAAAGAAACATCAGTTCCATTAAAGTTACTCCCTGTATAGAGAATAGTGTGATTTGCCTCCAAACATAATTTTGTTAGATCTCATTTTTAGGGGCGTCGGGAATGAAAATAGAAATCAACCAGTTAATTCTCCATGCCTGACCGTTAGCCTGTATCAGGGCCCAAACTCCTTGCCTTATATCGTTGAAGCTCGATATGATAGACCTATAATAAACAATAGTGATTAATTTATTGTCACGTGTTTAGTGACTAGACATGGGGTTTAGATTCGTAATTGAATGTATTGAACTCTTACAAACCGTAACTACAATTAATTATAGCGTTATGGCGAATTCACCCACTCTACAATTCACTATAGCATGTACTACCCAGTCTGTTTTGTCTTCTTACGTCGCAGCTTGGTAACGGCTCCCAACGCTGTAGATTCCTCTGCTTCCCTGTTCACGCCCTTATTAGCTACCGGTTGTCTCACAGTTCCTCATGGCCGCTGCTGCTGGCCATTCTTTCCTAGCCGCGTCTGGCCACCACTGGCTACCATTTGCTATCGCAGGCTAACAGTCTCTTGTGACTCAGAAATCGTCCCTCTCACCACAGTTATGTCACGACCGACAGTCAGTTGACCAGTGGTTCTTAGTGTCCAGCTCCATCTGGGGCCTGAGACCAGAATTTTGCTACTATCAGACAGTTAACGAGTTTGTTGATGTGGGTAGCCCTCTCTGACGAGAGGACAGGTCTGTCATTTACAACTGCTGCTGGTCCTCGACAGCACAGTCATTCTAGGGTCCGAGTCCCGTTGGACTCATGACCGTATTCTACTGTCTCAGATTCGAGATTCCCCCAAAATGGAGGGATTTTTAAGAGTGTATCTGTCGCTTCAATCTCTTGATTTAGTTTCCGTGGAAACGTGTTTGTAGAGCAATTGCCTAACAAAGGCCGTATATTCCGTCTCGACAATTCTGGCTTTGAGCGAACATTTCACAATACATTCTGGTTTAGATTGGTCACTTCAAGAGCTTGTATCAAATTTTGGTTTACTTCTGAGTTGTCTTGACAGGTTTCGGTGACATGGTAGGTATTAGTCCATACGACTATTAGAGCGTATAAGACCATTTCACTGTAACTAATTTGAGAAGTCACTTTACTTAAGGATATAATTAAATCTTTGGGCATACATCTTACATCCTTTGATAGATGGTGACGAATCTTCGAGTCCGAAACGTATTTATATTCTTTTTGCAATGTATTGTTTTCCATTTTCATCAATTAATTCTAAGATCCACATTATTTAGGAAACTAAATGAACTTTAGCACACAGAATATCTAGAATATTCCGAGACACAAGAGACCTCTTCTGTTTGGGAAAACGCGGAAAGTTGTAAAGAGGGGAAATTTGTAGCAAATCGTGCTTTCCCAGTTTCATGTGTTGCCATTTTTTTCCCTTAGGACGAGCCGTTACAGCGCTACAGCTCTTTCATATCAGTAGCAAAAAGTTACGGCGATGTTGCCAAGGTGACATGGTGTTGAAAAGGGGGTTATGTCTCCAGGGCAGGGGGAAGCGGTAGTGAAGGGGAGGCGGGTACAACCTGAGAGTACGGTCTTCTATGATATAACGCCTTGTAGTTCGTTGAAAGTCAACTGACATTTCGGAGGAACATGTCACCTCCATCTTCAGGGTCGAAGAACAAGTCGAGCAAGAAAAAGAACATTGAAGCCGTCGTCAACCAGGGCATTCAGCTTACCGAAATTTCTGATTATCCTGTCCTTGTCTTCTGATGTTTCGCTTGGTTATGTACGGGCTAATTCGTACTGGTGGTTCATTCTGTTTTACGCAACAGCCAACGGGAACTGACACTCCGTCTTATATTACCCTCGTATATCCCATTAATCCGAAAATTCGGAAAGCTGATTGCTCAGCTTGTCACTTGGTTTCAAATTCATTTCTTGCTTGGCTTATTCTGAGACCCTGCAGATGGAGGTGAAATATACTTCCGAAAAAGCCTGTTGATTTTCAGCGGATTACATTGCTTTATATCCTAAATTACAAAAATATTCATAACCACCTCTGTGAGAATCTCAAATCCTACAATTGTATTTTAATGTCCTGTACAGAAACAACGTTGCAGGTTGGCCAACTGTGGCAAGATGTTACAGGTCTACAAAACGATACATGCTTATGGATTGCACATTCGCTACAGTAAGTGTTCACGCCTGGTGTCCATCTTGTACACACATGTCAATACTGTGCCGCGTGCTAGAATGCACACGTCGCATTGACGCCGGGGTAATGGCTGCTCACGCGGCACATTATCCTGAAGTGCAGCAGCGTTTCACGGACTTCAAGTGAGTCCTTAGGTAAGAATCCAGTGGTATGGGGTCCTTAGAGCTTGAGGTCCATCCCACATGCCTCCCTGAACCGATCCATCATCCGTACAAAACCTTGCGCATTGTAGAGCTAAAGTAAAGCGGTACTCCAGCCTATTACAAGTGAAATCGAAGACATGACCCGAGTGCCCTTGTATCTGAGTTAGGTTGCAACGTAGTCACAAGAAGGTCTCACGCTTACCAGTTGTCTACAGAGACAGGTAGCGCAATAGCACTGTCATGGAGACCACAACGTACGATGATTCAATGTTTTGATGATCATCATGAAGTACGTGATGGCTCTCGTCTGGCCAGTACATGTCGGTGGCGTACGCCAACTGGACGCGAAGCTTTGCTGCACCCCATGTGCGCAGCCATTACACCAACAACGAGTGCTTTCTAGCGTAAGGAGCAGAATTCGCATGAGCGAACAAAATGGACACCAGTTTGAACATCTGCTGTAGCGAATGTACAAAACTTTCCAGCGTCCCATACGCATTTGTGGACTTGTAGTAACATTTTGCCGCAGTTGACCACACTGCAAAATTCTTTCGAACAGGCATATGAGAACACAATGATCTCGTTCACTATTCATGTTTCATGTTGTACCTGTCTTTCCTTCACCACCGCTTCTCCTGCCCTGGAAACATACACCTCTTTTCGCTATCTCGTTACCTTGACAATATCGCTGTAATTTTTCCTATTTGTACGTAAAAAGTATGGCACTGTAATTTCTCGTGATACGTGAAAGTTGCAACATTTGAAACTGGAGGCACATGGCGCAATCTGTAGAGCTCTTGAATTCTGTTAAGTATTGTCATAACTTTATGGAATGACTATAGACGTGGTTCGAATTGGCGACCGGATTTACAGGACTCTTTGTTACAGCGCGTGACTACACTTTACAGTCCACTATTACACGCACAAACTAGTATCCACAATCACGTCTTCACTACCGTTGCTTGGTACCGGCTTCCAAAGCGGATGTTTCTCTTCCTCTGGATTCCCGAACTCTCCTTGGCCTCAGCTACCAGCTTCTAGCGGCAACAGCTCACAACGACTGAAGCGCAGCGTCTTCCAACTAACGCACTGAATTCCTGCAATAGATAACTGACCCTGCTTGTAACATCTCGGCACGGATTGCACAGGAAACGTCTTTTCTTTGTTGCTGTTTACGGGCCGCTGTCCACTAACGGCCGTTGTATAGTTGCTTATTTCGCCGTCGTTGCCTAGCATGCAATAATATTTTGACGAAACTTAACATACGGGTTTATATTAAATGACAATTATTATCATACAAAAGTTACATCTATTTTAATTGATTTTAAGAGCATATGCATATTACTCTATTCTCTCTCGTACCTTAACATTAATTTATTTTCTATTTGAAAGTTTCTTTCACTTTTATGGCCAAATTATATAAGGGCCTATGTTATTTTAGTGTATATTTTTAACCTTCTGACCAAGCTTTGGTTCTGATTACATAGGAGAATGGCCATGTATCTATTCAATTCACTTTAATCTATTTTATTTATTTGTATTTTCCAATCCTATTTCTTGTTTACCTTTCTTGTCCGTAGTTACATATTTTAATTTCTTCTGTTCTTTTTCTTTTCTTTCTTCTTTCGTTACATTATTTCCTTTTTCTTTCTTTTCATGTGCATGATATTCGAGAGTCGCTGGACTGCAAAGAGTGTCGCATAACACACAGGAGATGTGCGGGCTGACACATGTGCGTGACATCGATTAGCGTTTAACCGGCCCCTTCAGTACAAGGCACAACACGCCATCGATCGCTACTCTTGTTGTCGTATTGCTGATACATTTCAATGGCGGAAGGAAGACGCGATAAGCGAACATCTCAAACTCTTCGAAAGGTTTCCATCAGGCGTACTGCTATCTCAGCGTTCTCTCCTCACTTTGAATATGACGCCGTCCGCGCAGGTAAATAGCAGAAATGCTGCCACAATTCAGTTTAGGAATTTCCCACAATCTTCTCGTTTACAATATACACACACAAAACTAGCATTCTGTTAATATATTCCGGGCTACTGGCTACCCATTTATTGGATGGGTTCAAATTTTTATGACTTTCTCAAAACGAATGCCGGGAAACTACAATGAAATAGGTCACAGCTGCCTTGTTCATTGCTTGTTCATTGTTTATTTTTCCGTCTCAGTAGACGTCGAGCAACATCTGAACTAGAATCGACCCTAAGTGAAGAATCATCGGCTTACACCTTGTTCTATGTCGAAGTGTAAGGTAACATCTTGCTCTGAGGGACGAATAGGATCTCGAGAGTTCAAGATAATGTCACGTGTTATAGTAATTATAGACTGGGTTTGGATTAGTGAATTGGATTTATTGACATCTCATACACGCCACTCGTAACTGCAGGCAAACCGCTATTTCCACAATTTACAGCTCACCGTTACACACGCACTAGGGTTATCAATCTTCACTAGTCGTATCCTGGCAACGGATTTCTAACAGTCTCACTGTCTTTATTCTGCAGCTGCCAATTCAGAAGACTCGACTAAATTCAATTTCTCCGCTTCCAAACGCATATCTTGGCAGGCTGCCGTCCCAAATTAAATTTTTTTGTAACTACTCTGCACGGACCACGCAGAAAATACAGTCTCTCTATTGTTGTAAATGCGCGCTTTTCAGTGTCGTTTCATAGCAATGGAATTTATTTGATTCTTGCTTGCGTATTCGTTGCCCCGAGGATATGTTTTCCGAGTCGTTGCCTAACAATAAACGTCTATTCTGACTTCATTATTCAGACTTTCGCGCGTCATGTCACAATGACGAAAATTATCTTTGATCCTGCAGGGAATCCTATAAAGGAATATATATTTCGTAGCTTGTATCGACGGGCGAAGGAAGTGTGTATAAATTGCTGCTGGCAGACCGTATGTTCTGGAAACCTGACTCGAACTTTGAAGTACCACGGACAATTTGATTGGCTGTCATGTTGTCAGACCTGGTGTCAGAACTCTCCAGGTTCGCACATGGCGTGATTCTGTATGCTCCAGAAAATAGAAATGCCAAATTTTTTATATATGAATAATGCATGAGGCGTATTGAAATTAAGTGTGAACATATTTCGAGTCAACCGAATTCAGGCTACGGGAAATGTCAGAATACAGAATCACCTGCTGTTCTACTTCACATGCAGTTCGTAACTTCGGTGAGAGATTCATCAAACATATGTGTTACAGAGTGGGCCAAAATGTAGTACACAACTGGCATGTTCGAACAATAAGGATTGAGGTTACGAGTATTAAAGGAAGTGTGACATGTAAGTTTTGAGGTTTTCACGGCGATTACTATGAAGAAAGTCGTCTTCTGGGATCTGGCGCCGTGTATTCTTTGTTTCAGCCTACGTTTCGGAGGAACATATCGCCTCTGCTCTCTGTATTCGCTAAGAAATTCACCTGCCCTGAAGATGGAGGCGATATGTACCTCCGAAACGTCGGCTGAAACAAAGAATACACGGCGCCAGATCCCAGAAGACGACTTTCTTCAAAGTGTGACATGTTTTCCGAAGAATTTCTTCTCTGTTTTTATTTCTTGACAGGCTTCTATTATTTATGCAGACACGTAACTCTTGTTGCAATAATAACTGTACTACTGATGATAGAAATTCAGAAAGCCATGAATTATTCTTCTTTGCATTTCATTGAATTTGAACCAAATAAAAAAATGTTTGAAATCTAAACAAGATTCACGAAACTTACCCATGTTGTGTAGAATTAGTCTATTTTGAAAGGTTGTATCTCCTGGAATATGGCATCATGTACTCCGTTAAAATTAAACTGATGTTTCGGAGGAACATTTCGCTTCTATCTTCAGGGCCCAAGACAAAGTCAAGCAAGAAACCAATATGAAGCAAGTAGCAACAATCAGAACTCTGCTGTGAGAACCTCAAGTCCTGCGAAATCCTATTTAGTCTGTTTCGCAAGAAATTTAGAAGTTCAAGTTGATCTCTCGGTAAAGTAGGAGCTATATTGAGTCAATTTAAATCGAAATGAAAGTTATGACGGATTCTGTCATCTGCGATGTGCACTGCTGTCCGGAGAATGTCAATAGACGTTTCGGGGGAAAGTATTGCCTCCATCTTAAGAGTCGAAGAGTAAGAAATCATCATGAAGCAGGCAGCGTTTGGTACAATTATCGGTCGGGAGAGCGGTTGTCGTGATCGACTTTTTCAGTAGCGTTCCCACCGACCGTCCCAATATAGTGGCCGGCACCCATGTTTCTTATTTGGGAAACCCTTGGCCAGGATGTAATCATGAACGTGCTAAGTAGCCTCTGTCGACGACTGAAGTCGGGTCTTTCAGCCCGCAGTAAATGATTCTTTTGACTGATTTGTCGTTATTCTTCCTTGATCAAGCTGGCTCCAGCGGCGATGCTTTGGACCCGTGTTCGTGTTCGAACCTCGGTCGGGGCTCCGTCCACCCGCTTTCCAGCTTACTGTTCTCCAGTCATTCACTCATTTGGCTCTTATAGTCTGGGTTAATGACAGTGTCGCTAATTGAAGTGAAAATAAAACAAGTAATATAAATTTTGGATTTGAGGGTCTCACGGCAATGACTATGAGGGTGTTCTGGCTTCGAATTCCTTGCAGTTCAGAAGAATTCAGGCGTTTCGGAGGAATATATCGCTCCAGTCTTCAGGGTTGAATAGTAAGTTAAGCAAGAAAAAATTTGAGCTCATCGCTTTCTTCTGCTGCTGATTTATTGCTTGATTTACATTCCGACAATGAAAATCGAGGCTATATGTTACTGCGAAACATATGACTTTTCCGAATTTCACAGAGTTAGAACTCAGAAGACTACACTCTAAATACCAGACATTCTCAGTAGAGTGAATGGAATTAAAATCCTGATATATTGATGCTGTGCAGAAATCAATGTTATGTCCATGGGGCTGTTATTCTCCCTCACCATAAATTAAGTGCAATAGAAAAAAAAATGACAAGCAAGGCGAAGGCACAAAGAAGGGGAAGGGGCTGAAGTGCGATATTAGTGTCATTTGCTCTAGCCTTGGGCATTCACCTGCCATAAATGTCACCCCCTGCGTGGCGCCGACCAGTCGCCCATGGATGAGTCACTTTATGTGGCGACTAGCTCTCTTGCTTTATTTCATGGCTATTGACAGCCATGAAGACCTCATTCATAGATGCATCGGACATTTCTGAAGCAGGCCAAAACAGTGACCATATAAAATTTACATTCGGAACATGCCAGATCGTGCAGTGAAAATGAAGCGTAGAATTTCAGCCATGTATAATTGCAACACTTGAGGTCTTCATATCGGTGACTATGAAGAATGCCGTCTTCTGGGATGTGGCGCCGTGTAGAGATTATGTGAACCGACATTTCGGAATAACGTATCGTCTCCATTTTCAGGGTAGCAAAATCTGTGACCGAGGAACCAGCGTGAACATGTGGCTGCCCACCTGCTCACGCTGGTTTTTCGGTCACAGATTTTGCTACCCTGAAGATGGACACGATAGGTTCCTCCGAAACGTCGGTTCACACAAGCTCTACACGTTGCCACTTCCCAGAATACGGCATTCTTCTTTATGATTGGTCGAGAATAATTTCGGTTTTATAATTATAAACGTGTCAGTTATAGTGTTTTTCTGTTCTGCAATTATTTCTCTAGGTGAGAGCGGTTCTCAGATAACAGGTTAACTAACTACCCAATCAACCTCTTAACTAACCAGTTATTTCGCTAATGAGTGTACTAAATAACTCAAGAGTTCATTAACTGTCTGGGCGAAAGACTGAATAATTGATTGGACTACGCAACCGAGCAAGAAGCGCACTCTCTACTATAGAGGTACACTGATTACAGATTAGGCTAACTAACTGGAATGACTATGCCATGTGCCTTGCTCACTGATTAACTAGCTCCTTGGTGAAGAGTATTTTTTGAGTAGTCTATTGGTATGCGATTGTTTGAGAAGTTTTTTGTTACTACGCAATCTAACGATTTATCACAACTAGCATTTGTCCACCATATTTGTAACTATATATATAGATATCATGTCCGAATCGAGTTTCGACACAAAAATCTACAGATCCTCGAAAGTGTCCCTTGCTGGAAACCTTCGGCAAACGCCCCTTCTCCCCCTATTCGCTCCATCGAATTCCCACGGTGTATTCATCAAATCCTTTTCAGTACTCAGACATATAGGTCAGGGTGTCTTGTCTCAATTCGCTGTGAGTATTCTCACCCATACAATATCTCAGATGTTCGTGATTATGATGGTTAATATCGTCCAATAGAAGCAATGTAGGAGTGTGTTCCTACGATACGTCGATAAGTAGGTATACGACTATACGTGGCATAAACCAAAAGACCACAATATGAATATTGTATTAGTTTCAAAAATATGTACAGCTTTCTTAGTAAAAAGTTCTTATCGCCAAGAAATTTTCAGATCTTTTTCTTTTATAGCAGTAAATTTTCTTCACCATATCGGCAGTAAACACAATGTAGATTTCGCACATGCATAGCAGTGCAAATAAATTGATCCTACAACATATTTATCACGTGTTTAGACGAAAATGTCCACAACAAATTGATATAGACTTGGGGAAATTTTATATATTCTTTCTGTGGCTTACAGAGAAAGCGTGTTTTCATTGTTTGCCCGACAGGCAGATACGCAAGCTCCATTTTTTTGTTCAGCGATCGCCTTCTTTTTTACTTTAACTGTTGATGATAACAGTAATGGTACATTTTGTTGATCCAATTTCCTATGTTACTGTACATCAAAATGTGTTCAATACTCTCCGCCCTCTGGAATAAAATACACATTCAACCAACATCGAAAGAGGGAAAGAAGAGAAAAAGAAAGAAAGAAAGAAAAGATATAGAAAGAAACTGAGAGTACAAATCTCTTTCACGATGCAATTAATTTGGA